GAGTGAACCGGAAAGACGTCAAATGACACCAGAATGCTAGCAAGAAGTTTCCTTTACACAGATTAAATATAGAATAGATAAGCATTGAAGAATTAAGCTCTACTGGGGATATCATTCATGACACTTCCTTTCATCCAGTTCCAGAAAGTTTCCCAAACTATATTCCATTGCATACTCAATCGAGCTGCTCATGAGTAATTTTTGGATACGTGTGCCTTTCTATTTTCCTGACAGATACTCAATGACATCTGAAGGGCCAGAAAAGGTAGTGGTGATAACTTTCCAAAGCACACTTATAAAAAGAAGATTGGATTAATGGGCCAGGCTCCTCAGTTTAATGTCTGGAAATAAACTCCTTTCATAGGATTTGAATGTGGTTTCGTTTAAAGGAAGCTGGGCTCTTGTAGAAATGAAAAGTAGACTCTGAGTGCTGTCACAACACCGTATGTGCAGGTGGTGATGAGCTTGAGGGTTACAGTTTACAGAGTGAGTAGAGAGGGAGGGAAACCTGGCCAGCAGACAGACTTTTACCATTTATTTCAAAGAGGATTTCAATGAGTATCTTTTTTTTTTAAGTCTTTTTCATTGTGCATCCCATTCATCAATAGTGATTCAAAAACCTGTCTCCCTGAGGTCTTAATTTTATAAACCACTTAGACTGAAGGAAATTAGAGAAATTTATAATGAGTCTATGAAGCTACTTTAAGTCAGGCGATTGGGAATAACCTACAGAAGATTTAAAATGACTCAGTCCTACATTTGAAGATTAAAATAATGTTAGAATTGGTTTGATTTTTTGAAGCATCATTTTTATGATCAGAATGTGAAGACTGATTGTGACAATTAAATTACTTAAATAACAAATGGTCTGCAAAGTGAACATTAAACTCTCTCCCTACCTTTCCTCCCCAGTAAGTTAAAACATATTTATCACAGTTTTTACTCATGGGACTTCCTTTTTGGGATTTCAGTTACCGCAAATATAAAGCAGAGGGGTGTATCTAATAGGACAACCTACTGTTTTCTCTGAACTGTATTACATGCATTATCATGTAGAACAGTACTATCCAATAGAACTTTCTGTGATGAGGTGACCACTCTGTAATGCAGGGCTCGTTATGGTAGTCACTGGCTACAAATTACTATTGAGTAATCTAAATATGGCTAGTGTGATGGAGAAGGTGAATTTTCAGGTTTTATTTAATATTTATCAATTTATAGATTCACATGAGGCTGATAACAACTGTATTGAATGTTCCTTTTACAAAACTCTCTCATGCTGAGGCACACATAACCTATTTTATTCAAATGTAATGTTTTCATCAAATATCCTCCTAATAAGGAATTTATTTTGCTCTCTTTTTTAGCGTGCTTTTGGAAATACTGTGTCTGAAGTTTTTTCCTCTGGATACAAAAAGAGAACACTAGAAAAAAAAGAGATACAGCTATTCCCTGATGCTTAAGGATTATAGCTATTTTAAGCATAAAGAAACAGTGACATTTATTCTGCCTGTTGTATACTGGAGGTTTAAGGTGTGAGTAATGACAAATCAGTTGCACTTTTGCCTGGCATGGGCTATCAAATGGCCTTGTAGCACTCCAGTTGACAGTGTTGTATCTATTATTGTATGCTGTCTATAGATTCATCGTCTACATCAGGTTTTGTCTGGTGATAACTATGCTATTGAACAAACGAAGTATTTTAAAAAGCATCTTGGAAAATTAAAATAAATTATATTGTCTCAATTTATGGAAAAATATGAATCATTGTCCTTTCTCTTTCTTATGATTGTGCTGGCTATTATCTCTTTTCTGTTCATTTGGACAACTCTCACTGAAACTACTACAACCAAATGAATATATTATTAGCAGGCAGTAATATATGGTTTATTGGACTCTGAGAGAAAGTAATATTAGATGTCTCAGAGATAGATAATAAGAAAACTTTCTTACAAAGCAATTTGCCTTTTCATTTCTTAATTCTCATCTTTTCCTCCACAGCATCATGAACTATTTGAGACACAGCATGTCTGGAAGAGATGACACTCATTGTGGTAAAAAATAAACAAAACAAAGCAAAAACTCATTGGCTTTCTCTTGATTCTTTTTTTTTTTTCTTTTTCACATTTGTACATCAAACTGCTCGTGCTTACATCTGTACCAGCTTATTTAATCAACTCAAGGCTGGGAGTTCAACTTCAATTTTGTCTGTCAACTGTGATAGCACAGAAACATCACCAAAGTAACTTTAAAGAAAATTAAGGGCTAGAATAGATGGTCAGATGAGCCTATACACAGTTCCTTAATACACAGTATGGGGGAAATGCAGCTTGTCTACATAATATTAATTTTGTGGTGCTTAAAGAGAAAACTATCTCATAAGAGAGGATGAACAATATCAAGTTAAAAAAAAATAAAACAAACCAAGTTGAGTCATATCTCTATAGTGCTATTTATATACTTGTTAAGAGCCACTCAAATGTGCATAAATACCAGTTGCTCAGTAATAGCTAATTATTCCCATATATTTACATTAGTTGTAAACACAAACATAATATTGTTATAAAGAAAGACAAAAACTACTGCATTCACCATCTCATGTTTATTAACTTTGGAACAGTTAAACAATATGCAGGCATTTTGAACCTTCAAGGGTAAGGTCACTCAAAAAAGCTTTTGCTACTTCTTCCTTTTAGAAAAATCCATTAAATCATCTTTTAATAGTTTGCTTTGAGAAATTTAATTCCCTAAAACTATCTGTAGATTAAAGGTAGAATTTGCTAGACTTTTTGTAGTGTGAGAAGATTTTAAGATGATGTAACCAGGAAAGAAATCCCTCATGAAAAATTAGTTATGTGATTGATGCCAGAACACGGAAATCCATGTTTACAATGTGCTCTGTGAAGCTTCACAAATGAATGAGATGACTCATCATATCCTTAATAGAAATTATGTTTTATTTTCTTATGGTGTTAAAAGAATGCCTTATTTCAAACCAGGGTACTGTTGATTTGTTTTCTACTTTGTATAAAGTAGTGGTAAAAATTAAAATATGAAATGAAATGGTCTTAAGGGGAGAAAACATTTTTCTCTTTTTGTTCATTGAAGACTTGGGTATATATTATGAGATAAATGCATTATAGATTAGAATAGAGTATAAATCCATATATCGTGACCTCTGATTTTAATTAGACCGAATGCCATAACTATAACTTTGCATTAAAAAATAAAGATGAGAGGAAATCAATTTATCTAATTTGGCTTTCAATCTTCACCATGAGAAAATTTTAGGCTGATGTAGGCTTTAATACCTTTTGTCAATGCAGGAAGCAGCAGCACCCAGTTGGATTAGAACCTTACAAATATCCAGATGGAGAAAAAGGGAAGAAAGAACTTCCAAGGAATATAAACACATTTTTTATAATTCAACAGAAGTTTGGGGAAAAGTGGCAGGAGACATTCTAACTTCTTAAATAGTTTTCAAATAGTGAGTTCTACAGGATATTTGTCCCTGTGCTCCTGCTAGCTTTTTAATGCAAGTTTATGAAAAACAGAATTAGTTAGCTCTCTCAAAATTCATTTCTCTTTGTTATAGCCCATCTATTACAGTTAACAGAATTGTTCATTTATTGTGTTTTTTGCAAACTTAAATTTGAAGATTTTTAGTAGTTGGAACAATTTTCCCAAAACTAAGAATATACGTACAAAGCCACTCGTATTCTAAGTGTACATGTCATTTTTATGTTTCTTTGAGTTCATTTTACTCTTTGAATCATACATTTATTCACTTTTTAGTCAAAATTAACAACTACCCATTTTTCTCCCCTTGAGATATGAATATACTTTCTCATGACATTCTTCCTTTTAATGCTAAAATAAACTCTGTCCTACTGACGAAACTTTTTTCCTCCAATAAATCATGTCTGTTTGATAGTGATTATGAGGGTTGAAAAAGTGTTTTCCAGAGCCTTTATGAACTTTTGCTAACTTATGCTAAATGTCTGATTCAAGAGATAAGTTATCTTTGTATTCTGAAAGCATACCCAATGCATAATGGGCTTATCTACCTAAGTTGCAGTAACATCACATCTATTGTTGAGAACTGAGCTTTCCAGAATATGAGACTTTTATGCTTTGATAGATCAATTAAAAATAATATGAATCATTTCAAAGAAATAATTCTTAAACACATTATACTTTTCAATGCCTTATTAAACAGAGTGTATGAAACCAATCACTTTCTTGGGTGAGTCAGTAGCATCAAGATGACGGCTTATTGTACTATGCCAAAAAGTACCATGCTAAAATTATATGTATTTAATGAGTTCCAGACTATTCTAATGGTTTACTACTGAGTGATTCTTTGCTTTTCCCCAATAATTTCATCTGTTACTCCTGTGTTCTTTACAATCTGTTGTTCTCGTAATTAGCTGCTGAATTAACTACCAGTTGTAATTTAGAGAAAAGAACAGTTGTTAGAGACATGAGATCTCCAAACTTGACAAATGAATGATATCCTTCACTTCCTAACTCTGTCACTATGCTCTGACCTATAAGTATTTTCTCAATTCTTTGGAAGAATAACATTGATGGGTTTAATTACTAGCTGTTTTCCCCCCCCCCACATACTTATAAATCATTCTTCTTTTATTTCTAGAACTGGGGCTATGTTTTATGTGGCTGAACCTCACTGAAATGTGAATATGCTAAGACAAGCCTAATTTCATAATCATTACCCAAGAGGCTCACAAAGTATACAAAAGAAATCAAATATTTAAGAGAACATATACAACATTGTCTTTCCTCATCTCTCAGTAATGAGCAAACAGACTGTACCTAAGTTGTACAGAAAAAAAAAAACCAGTCTTCAGTTATTATTCTTCAACTGCATAAATGTAAATCGTAAATGCATATAGAAAGCATTTCATGTATAGTGTGTTTTGACTGTTTCTTAGAAAAGCAAGGTTTGGAACTAGGGAACCATTCCCATTAACTAAAATATATATTTTAAAAAATATCCATGCATTGAAGTGATATGCATAATTTAATTGAAGTTATAACAATACTGTGATGTGACGGACTGAAGCTCAAACTGTGGAAAGGATTTGCAGAAGGCCAGTTCCTTGAATGTTGAATCATTATTGAGTGTAAAGAACTTCACTGAAGCATCTTCCATGTTTCTGTGACATTTCACCAGAGAAGTTGTGTCTGTAAAAAGGAAAGTTGAAATTGTTACAGCTACGGAAAACTCCATAGATAAGGGGAATACCATCAACTTCAGTTGAGAAGAGCTGAAACTCTACATGATGTTTCATTATAGACTTTTTCCTGGGACATATTTTAATTGCAAAGACAATAATGGAAAGTGATCATTTCAGATCAAAACACATTAAAAAGAACATCTTCAATGTATAAGCCATTCCCAATTCTCAAGCCATGGTTCCTTTTTTTGGGTACCTGCTATATTCTATTTCTTTTCAGTTTTAAATCTTGGTTCAAGGATGTTGCCATGACATAAAAAGGATATAAAGAAAATCTAAGTATTACTTTGTTTATTGCTATAACACATTGATAATTTTGTATATTTTGCTCTCCTTAAAGGGACCAAGCATAATGCTGGCATTTAAACATAATTTTTTTCTGCTCTTCAAGAGTTCTGTTAATATGTTTGAATGATAGTGCGTCAATATTGGTCTAAAATTTAAAAAATTGTCAGTATAATACATCAACATGTGCCTTGTATTATTAAAAATCTTAGCGCATGTGGCAGCAAGAGGTAGAATAATTAGTAGTCCTATTTCTACCCAATTTCATCATGAAGGTATCCTGTTTTCAATTGTAGAGACGTAGAACTTGTTAACCACGTTTAGACAAGCTGCAAAATCTTAGACAAAATCCCTCTCTGAATTTGAGTTGCTTAGAGCTGACACCTATAAAAAAATTCAAAATTGTGGTCAAATACGTTAATGATTTGAGGAAGACATTGTTGTAAATACCAGATTATCTTCTTTTCCAAAACACATATTGGGAAGAGGTTAACATTTGTTCTGAAAACTAGGTAACATACAGCAGCTGTATCTACATCTAAACTCAAACCACACAAAACTTCCATGATTAGAACCAGTTTCACTTTTAGTATGAAGACTTGTGAAACCCAGAAGGTGAAAACCCACAAATAAACCTTCTTTAAAAGAGTATACATTAAGTCCCACAAAAGTGGAACAAAGATTTTCACAAAGTCTGAAACACCGCTTCTGTTTGTTTTAGAAATGAGTAAGCAGAGAAGTTGGCATCCAGCAATGACAACTTAACCTCCTGAAGACCTTCTAGGTCATGAAGATAATGCTGGCTTAGAAGTCCAGAGACCTGGGCTCTGGATCTTGCCTGTCTGAGAGTATAAAATTTTGAGCAAATTGTTTTCCTCTCACAGACCCAGTGTCCTCATTTATTAAAAAACAAAACAAAACAAAAGGGTAGGATTAAATGAGACTATGTTTTTGAATCTCTTAGTGATTTAATCAGTCATTAAGAATAAGAAACAGTGTACCATAAAATGATTTTGAGAAGTTAAATGGAAATTAGACATATTTATTTTTATTTTTTTATTATTCATAAACTGAAAACCTAAAACTTCACACGAGAAAGTAAGAAAGCATCTGAAAAACCTCGGTGACAGTGGCAGGAAATAATGACTAGAAACCTAATGGTTGATGGGTGCCCCTGCAATGATTGACAAAGGGAAAGAAAAAATACATGATATTAGATTTTATTCTAAATCTATTATGTTGTGATATGACTATCTTGAAACTTCAGTAATAAGGACAGTGGTTGTCATCATACTTACCAAAGCCTATTAGATGAAGTATATAATATATGAATTTGGATTTCACCCATAGTGATTCAGGAGACATTATATTAATTCAAATACCTTGCCATAGTTCAGTGGCTATCAGGAGTTTACATGGTCTGAAACTTCATATGAAAATGTAAATGAAAAAGAGTTTCCTGCATGTTTTTTTTTTTTTTAAATCATAACCTGTTTTGGTTTAATTCAGAAATACTAGAATGGTGATAATCCAGGGTGTCCAAGATGGTAGAGTTCCATGGAAACTAATAAAACTTAATTGTTTTAATCTCAGTGTCAGAATGTTCTCAACACATCAAGAAACTGGAGGATTGTGATCCTGATTTCAAGGAGTAACTCAGTTTTTCATAGCAATTAATTAGATCCTACTCAAATATAATGTGGTGATTTTTAACAATACTGAAGAGTAACCATACTTGGTATATCTCTAGACAAAAAGAAAGTTCATTTTGAAGATGGTACTGCTCAAAATACATTGTTCTTCACATACTAAGTAAGTCCTCTTATATCTGTGGACATTCAGTAACTTCATAACTTCATTGATCAAAAGCTCCATGGTGAAAAAAAAAATTCTTTTAACTTAGTCATTCTGAGAATAAGAAAGTTGAAGTAAAATATTCACTTCTCACTGTGGTTTAGGGCATTTGATGAAGAGAAAAAGCAGGCATGACTTAAACTGAGAGGTTCAGGGTTAATGTGATGTTTTGGGGGACTCTGCATCCTTGGTCAAAGGATAATCCTGAGAGAAATAAAAAGCATGAAAGTCATGCCTGAAACTGTCAAAACAGTTCCAGTTTGTCTCATCTGCCTGGGATGGAGGATGCATCCTCTTGTAAGCTTTACTGAGAAAAAATACATTGCCTAGATTTTATGTTTAACATTTCACATTTAAAATATATAATATGGGGGCGCCTGGGTGGCTCAGTGGGTTAAGCCTCTGTCTTTGGCTCAGGTCATGATCCCAGGGTCCTGGGATTGAGCCCCGCATCTGGCTCTCTGCTCAGCGGGGAGCCTGCTTCCCCCTCTCTCTCTGCCTGCCTCTCTGCCTACTTGTGATCTCTCTCTGTGACAAATAAAAAAACAAACAAACATCTAAAATATATAATATGTATGGCTAAATATACTTTTGAAAATATAAACTCAGAATTTGACCTTTCTGGATTTAAATGCTACTTATGTCACTAGCTATATGGCATTGTGAGTTAATATATCTACGCTTTCTATTATTGTATAATACTAATATTATATAATATAGTATAATAATAATGAGGATTATTGAATATTTACATGTCAGACACTATTCTAAATGTTTAATACATATCAATGCATTTAGTTCTCTGGACAATGTAGTGTGATGGAACTTTGTTATTATCCTCCATTTATGGAGGGGAATTTTAGAATTTAACCAAGGTCCCACAGCTAACAGGTAGAACAACCGGGATTTGACCCACAACACTGGCCTCTCCAGCTGTCACTTTTACCCCTTACACTGCACTACTTCTCAAGATACTGGAGACAGCAACAGGACCTACTTTAGGGAAAAGGATGATTAAATGAAGCAGTATGTACATAGCACAAAGTATAGGGCCCAGCACAGAGTAAATTTTCAGAACTATAAATCTAAGATTACTGGCATGTCCTGTGTGCCCAACACACATCTAATTTAATTCTCACAATACTAATATGTTACTATTTAAGTGAACAAGATGTAGAGAAATAAGATATGGAAACAAGATAATGAACAAATGAGTGACAGAGCCAGGATTTGGAGTAGGTGTTATGATTCCATGACCAAAACTCTTCTTGCTACCCTATTCTCTCTCCTGTGTTCTGTGTTATCATAAATCTGGGAATGTAGTTATTGGCAACAAAATGGTGTATGTCACTGAAATGTGTCTTCCTTATAATAGAGGGGTTACTACACAGTTATGTGCATGTACGAAGGTGATTAATACGTCAGTTAGAATTTTAACCATTGTTCATATATTAGTATCCCCTAATTATATAAGAATCTGTGGGGTTAATTGAATCTTCTTTTTAATGGTGAAGTAGATCTAGGACATTCCTTTGCTTTTTAAATGTCATTTAAGTTACTTGCATCAATATACTAATTGAGTACAGAAAAGTTGAAACAGTGAATTTATAAGCTAGGAAATTAAAAGGGCAACTTATAAATCAAGATGGATCAATGAACTCATTGTGAAATGTTAATCAGAAGCTTGCATATACTGTTACATACCTGAATTGTACTCATGGTTAGAATCAATTAGCCTCTGGAATTTGAGAGACGGTTTCCACCAATCCGATCCACAGGAATACCGAATCGTCTCTTTGGATGATCTACTACTTTCCTGAAACAAACCAAGGAGATTATTTTTAAGCTAAACTCCAAGTTATCAATTAATGAGTTTTGCTCTTTTATTTCTTGCAGATCTGGGGGTTTTCTTTGGGAGCTGGAATACACATGATAGTTATCATTCACTACCCCCCACTATGTGCCAGACAGTATCTCTTATTCTTTGGATATCGGTCAAGTGGGTCTAACTGCCTCCATTTTATATCTGAGGAATCTGAAGCTTTGAGAAATTAAGTTACTTATCCAAAATCTAACAGTGTAGATGAAAAGCGGGGTCTTATTAGCATACCAATCTGTTAAGTGTTTAGCTTGGGTAAGTCCCTTTCTCCCTTCAAATGTTGGTGTATTCCTCTGTTAATGGATAACAACTACACTAGGTCAGTTTTTTTCCCCAATCTCTGACTCAGAATGGTTCTTCTAGGCAAGAATGGTGGTGGGGGAGGAGAAAGTGCTGATGCCAAAACTGACTGTGGACTAAGTGTGCTTCTCATGTCTTCACTTGGATTTTAGCCAGGGAAGCTTTGTACACAATGGTCTATGTCTGTCACATATTCTCTGTGTCAAATATTATTTGGAAAAAATTAGTTTCATTATTAAGATCAGATGATTTCTAGCTTTTATGTTTTGTAAAATCTCCCTTTAGAAAAAAGAAACATATTAATTTGATTTGCTATTGCCATCCCTTCGTTCTACCAAGTGAAAATCCTAGTACTCTCAGATGAGGAATGATTTAATGTAAATAAGTAGAGGGGGACAAAAATCTCTTTTACTGACACCAAGTTTTTACCTTAACTACCAGGTCTAATCAGTGTTCCTCATATCACAATATCAATCATATAATTGATTTAAAAGCTCTGAGAAATATAGAGAATAACGGAAACATGGAATATTTTTATTACAGTTATCTTACACATAGAACATTCCATAAACACAGCTTGACTGTAATCAAACTAATAAATTTGATGGTTATTAATATTTACTTAATGCTTTATATATGCCAGGCACTGTGCTTAGTACTGTGTAGACAATGATGATAAAAATAGGCAAGAACCTGATTTGGAACTTATCCCTCAATGATACTGTAGGAACCAGGCACAGGGCCACATTATGTTTTTTATTTGTTTGTTTGTTTTTACCTAATTCAGCATTCTTTTCTGTCGATTCACATCCATCTGCCTTTACAGGCTGGCTCTTGGTTTTGCAAGTCAATGCAGATAGCACCATATATATGATTTTAAAAGGCCGTCTGCTAAACAACAGCTTGATCAATAGAGGAAAATCCAGGAAAAAAAAATATTTAGTGTTTATCCTTAACTTAGTCATACCTCTGCTACTCTTCACATTTCTTTTTTTTTTTTTTTTAATTTTTTTAAATTTATTTATTTGACAGAGAGAGATCACAAGTAGACAGAGAGGCAGGCAGAGAGAGAGAGGAGGAAGCAGGCTCCCCGATGAGCAGAGAGCTGGATGCAGGCCTCGATCCCAGGAGCCCGAGATCATGACCTGAGCCGAAGGCAGAGGCTTAACCCAGTGAGCCACCCAGGCACCCCTACTCTTCACATTTCTGAAAAACATACCCTCTTCAGTGAGGTCCATCATTCGTACTTCTGGATTTTTGGATACGATATGGACTACTTATTTTTCAACTTGATAATCAAAGGGGTTTAGTAAGATTAGTGTAAAATAAATGTTGATGAGACATAGGAAGTATGTATATCACCAGTGTTTAAGTATGCTGATGTAATTATAAATAATTATTATTGGAAAAAGAAAAAAAATCTCATATTTTTTATTTTTATTCATATAATTTATAGACTTTTATTTTAAACAGTTATTTCCTTTGTGGTAGGAAGAATAAGGTCTCCTCAAGGATGTCCACACCATAATCCACAGAATCCACAAGTATGTCACCTTACACAGCAAAAGAGACTTTACCGATAGAATTAAAAAGGACCTTGAGATGAAAAGATTATCCTGGGTTGTCTAGGTAGGTCCAATCTAGTCCAGTCTCTGTAACAGTGGAAGATGACTGAAGAAGAGTGGGTTGGTCAGAGATCTGCACTCTGAGAAGGACTTACCCCACCACCCCTGGCCTTGAGGATGAAGGAAAGAATCAAGAACAAAGGAATGGTAGGGGCGCCTGGGTGGCGCAGTCAGTTGGGCCTCTGACTCTTGATTTCTGCTCAGGTCATGATCTCAGGGTCCCTGTGTCTGCTCTGCCCTCACTGGGCATTTGCTTGAGAATTCTCTCTCTCCCTTTCCTTTGGCCCCTTCCCCTCTTCTTGTATATGCTCTCTCTCTCAAATAAATAAATCTTAAAAAAAAAAAAAAAAAGGAATGCTGTGACTGCTAGAAGTTCTCAAAAGAGAACCAAAACAGACAGAATTCTGTCCTATAACCAAAACAGACTGAAGTTTTCCAACAACCGGAATGAGTAGGAAATGAATTCTCCTCTAGAACCTCCAAGGAGAGCAGCCCAGTGACCTCTTGACTTCTTCCATAGCTAGCTGGCAGATCAGGCAAAAGAAAGCACAGAGCAGCTAGCAGGGAGAATTTTAGAGGCTACACAGTGCCTAACAATCAATCACATGGCTGTCCCTAACTGGAAAGGAGAAAAGTTGTGTAGACTGGTATATGGCGACTGCTGAGGTTATATTGGACGTCCGGCCTATAGAATTGTGAGACAATAAATTTGTGTTGTTCTAAGTCCAGAAGCTTAAGGTAATTTATTACCATAGCAATAACATAAGAATATATCTGTGTAATTTAGAGCTTATGAGTGAGGGTAACATTATTGATATATATTTTTAAAAAATCAGACTTGATAGGATTTTTTATTCCTTGAACCTTTCAATTCCTATACTGACTACCTCCATCGTAAGTCCAGGAAAAGGGTAAGATAGAAGCCACCTCAGGGTGGAGGAGAGTGCTCAGGAGAAGTTCCAGACAAGTAAGAAGAGGAAGTGAGAAACCAACCCCTTTGGGTGTTTAAAGGACTGGTGAGAAGGGGAGGGAAATGGCAGCTGGGAAAAAGAGTAGTGCCACACATGTGAACGAACCTCCCAAAGCACCTGCGGGTTGGATGGTGGCAGGAAAAGTCACACTTCTGCTTTTTTAGAGGAAAGTATGATGGTCTCATGCATCATTATAAATTAGAACAGAACATTTACTAGTTAAGAGTACTAATGCAAACTAATGAGGTACTACATCTTGGCTAATTGAATGTAAATAAAAAAAGAGTACCAATGCATTTTTTCAAAAATAAAGGTAAAATAAATGAAAACAGCATTTTTTCTTTCTTTTCTACTATTGATCTTTTTTTGCTCAAGCAACTAAGAGGCAGCTGTAGTGGTGGAAAGACAAATAAATTCTTTTTTTCCTTCCTTCTTCCCTCATTCTATGTTCCTTCCTTCCATTCTTCCCCCAAAATTTGATTAAGAACCAGGATATGAATGACAGATTCTACCTGATTCTTCTACTGTAAGCATTTGTAGGACCGTTGTCATTCTGATCTTCTCTTTCTTTTTTGATGAGATTTAGATAATACCTGCTCTGCCTATCTTTCAGACCAGTTTGTTTAACACTTATTCCTTAAGTAAATTTGATTGCTTTATGCACAATCATTGATATTTTTCCTCTGTACTGGGGATACAGTGGTGAATAAGACATACATTACCTGATAAAAGCTAATGAGGTAACACACCTGAAATCATTCTACACATTTTAACCGATTCTACTATTATTTCCTATCAATCCTGTCCACTGGTTTTAAAACTATTTGTAGTTTACTATGTCTACAAATAAAAGCTTTATAAAAGAGTTCAGTACCTAAAATGTTCAGTGAAGAGCTGTCCGTGTAAAGAAGTGCCCCACCTTCTCCTATATTGTGGACCCTGTAAGAGCTTCCAGAAACACTTAAGAGTGCTTAGAGCAGAGTTTGAAAAACACTGGTCACTTGAATATGAACGTTTTTGTCCTAACCATAGATCCATAATTACTTTGATTCATTTTCTAAAATTTGGGACTGGTTTCAAATGCTCACATGTATCTTGAAATCAAATAAGAAAAAATAAATAAACAGATAAATATGAAAAGCCATTCAGTATTTAAAATTTTTAGCACTAATACAAAATGAAAACAATTATTCCTGTAAAGCAGTTAAATAATAAAAAAAAAAGACCATAGCTCTGTAAGTTAAATAATTTCTATGCAGTCTCCATCCATTTAGAAGTAAAATGGCATACTAGTACTTATCTTAAGGTTTTTGCTGATATGAAATATATATCACAGTCCTATACTCTGTAACACATACCCTTATAGGAATAAACATTGTGTAAAACATAAATGTTAAGACAGTGAAATATTCTTAAAACCAAAGGGGAAAACTACTTTCTGACTATCTAGTCCCTCTTGTGACAAAATAATGGTATGACATGGCTTATAATATATATCCATGTTACCTTTTACATTTTAAAAGATTCTGAAATAGGTTAAGGATACAAAATACCTGCCAAACTAATAAAGAGAATGGATTGGTTATTTCAAATACAACCTTAAACTTTCCACTTAAATATACTTCTTGTGTTAAATAGGATTTTTTAAGCATTTATATCCTTTGATAACCCAGATTCTGAAAAACTTCTTACATTCTAAAACAACAGTTAGGAAATGTGTATTTAAATGTGTTATTGAGAATCACATCACACATACAAAATAGCCTATAGATTTATCTATGATCAGTTAAAAGAAAAATGAAATGAACATTCCTGTTGGCACCAGATGAAGAAATAGACTATTAGCGACACTGTAGAACTCCCCAGTGTTCTTGCTCCCAAATTGCATCCCTTTTATGCCTCAGTCCCAGAAGTAATCTGTAGACTGAATTCTGGTCTAATTATCCCCGTGCTTTTCCTTATAATCTTTCTGTATTATTCAAAACTCTCTTGTTTTAGTGTAGATGGTTCTCTAATTTTATTTTTTAAACAAACATGTATG